TCCTCCTCCTCCCTCCCTCCCTCCCTCCCTCCCTCCCTCCCTCCCTCCCTCCTCCCTCCCTCCCTCCCTCCCACTTCCATCTTTGTGTCCTCTGTCATGATTTTCAACATTATCTCCTTCAACTTCCTCATTTTGCTCGTCATCACATTTTGCGCGTGACGACAACTATGACAACACTATGACAACACTTGTTGTCATGACAACAAGTTCCTGTCCTGTCCTGTCCTGTCCTGTCCTGTCCTCTCGTCTCGTCTCGTCTCGTCTCGTCTCGTCTCGTCTCATTGCTTCCCAGGCGGTCATGCGAGTCATCTCCTACATGGAAGTTCTCAAGGATGTCCTGCTGGGCCTTGGCTTCTACGAGGTCACGACGAGGAGGCGAAGGGGATGGGCATGAAGGAGAGGGGAGGGGAGGAAGGGAGGTCGAGCACGAAGAGGAGGAGGAGGAGGAGGAGGAGGAGGAGGAGGAGGAGTTGGCCGCTAGAGGATAGTGTTGTTGATTGTCTTTTCCATGATAGCCTGCCTGCAAACGACTGAGCTTGCTTCGTTGTTGTGAAAAGTCTCCTCTTGACTGAATAGTCTTTTCTTTGAGGTATTTATTGACATGATCTTCTGTCAATTCTTCTATAATCTTCACTGGTGAAACATTTTCATTGCAGATTCAAGACACACATCCTTGCAAAGATATTTGTTCGCTCTTTTGGTATTGTGATGCTTTCTACAGATGTGGGCGCATCCAATCAGCAACTCTCCTGCTTCGACATGAGTACATTCATTGCGCTGCACCTGGGGACTCATCACAGTGGCATGCTGAGCTCTAATGTTGTGCGATTGCTTGGAGGAATGTATAACATGGCAACATATCTGCTATGTTTAATGGGTGGTAATGATCCTCGTCTTCGAAGGATGTACAAAAGTGCTCAGTTCTATGGATGTCCAATTAACTCATTGAATGATACCAACTCTCTAGCTGATTGTGATCCTGTTGAAGAAATACCGAATTCAACTATCTTG